CACACACACACAAACAGTTACACACACAAACACAAACACACGCACACACGCACGCACGCCCGCACGCATGGATACAGTCAACACAAACGCCCGAGCACCATTGCGTGCTGCACAACAAAGGCAACTATCTCGAACTCGAACAGCAACCTTCCGCATATCAGCAAAATTCTTAACTTTCCCAGTCCAAATGTTCGGCTGATAACTATAATATTTAGAAGTTCCACCTCTCACCCCTTCCCCAAACCCTCTAGAATGTCGTTGTTTCTTCCTCTGTCTCTACACCCCATTCGTCTCTCTCTCTCTCTCTCTCTCTCTTTCTCTCTCTCTTTCTCTCTCTCTCTCTCTCTCTCTCTCTCTCTCTCTCTCTCTCTTTCCATTCCCTCTCTCATTAGTTCAATCTCTCTGAAAACGGTTTCTCTGACGGTATTAATTTCCGGTCTAACTTGTAGTGTTCCCTATGTGGCAGAGAGGCACTTAACAAATGACCTGGGTGGAATCCTAAGAGACGCCGCCGGGCGCCAAAAACAGCAGGTCTTGATCGATCTGATAGTAAACAGATGAGGTTGGCAGATCAGAAGTGGGGCAAATGATTGGCAGTGAAAGTTTGTTGTTTTTTTACTCTGCTTAAAGAACCCATCACACCTGAAAGCGAACGTTGTAACATTTTCAGACCAAGATTTGACTTGTAGTCATTGATTCTAACGTGTGTTTGAGTGAATGAATTTTGTTAATATTGGGCACTGTTAATCAAACATGTAATGTATTTATTGATTTTACTTTTGGGATCAACATGATACCAAAAAATACCAATTAAAAGAAGAAAAAAAAAACGATCTCAGTTCTTTCTATCAGGTAACATGTCGCGAATGTGGGGTGTGGGTTTGAGAGTAAGAGGTGCATCATTTTTTACTCTAAGTAAGAGTTTTATGGCACTTCAACACAATAAGGTCATATAAGTGCTGGAGATTAGAGGTGTTACAAGAGAGTAACAAAGATGAGAGATCAGGACGATAGACGTTTGGTAGGAAAATAGGAGCAAACCACACCAGAGCACCCGCCAACCACCACGCATCATTTTTATGAATCCAAAACTGAACCATACGAACATTCGCTTTGAATCAGTATCATAAGGGATTGTTCTGCTGATCGATTATTAGGACGCCATTATTTTAGCTTTTGAGTTACATTTTTATACTCGGATTCATGACAAAAAAGAATTGTTGGTTTTTTTCCTCACTGTCAGTTTACACATATTTTTATTATGCCCAGTAGAACTACTCAAATTATAAATAATTTACAGTGCATTTAACTGGTGTACACTATGGGACACAGGACTTTTTAAAAGCATATTGTTAAACGTTTACGGGAAAGATTTGCCAACCTCTGTAGCATGTATGATTACGAACTTGACTAACATGCAACTGGTTCAATTTGCGACCAATGTAGATAAATCCGTGTTTTTTTCACTTCTCTAAATTGGTTTCGCACTGTATGGACCCCAACGTATACATTGTAGTAAAGGACCCTGCTTTCGAAAAAATATTATAAATATTAAACTCTAATAATGTTAATTATGATTATTAAACAATAATTTATATAAATTAAATATCTAAGTGAGCATACACAACAGTGATCATTTCAGTCAAAAATGCTTTGGTCAGGAATTTTGGCTCATTTGATTCGGTAAAAGATTTGATGGCAGGTCTGTGAACTGCTGTAGCTTGAATCAGCGGAATATGAAAAGGCAAAAAAGAGGTAGGAGGGACATTTTTAATCAGTTTAATGATTGTCTACCCTAAACTTTTGCAAGAGACATGCTCTCACAGAAAGGTTCGTGATTTCGAGCAAGGTATGATTATTATGAGCTTATAGCATGCACTGTATTGGAAACAGATTATAACAAGTACTATGCTGATCAATACTCAAATGGCACAGCTACACTAGGTCATAACAATCTCGATTGATAACAAAACGAGTCATGGGAAAATCTTGTATGCTTGTCGGAAGGCAATGATTAAATTTTTAAATTAATATTCATTGATATCTCTGCACTTTGTCAATGCAAAATTGTCTACATCCATCTTTTGAATGATACTGATGAAGAACACGAGCCTTGGGCAGGGCAGAAAAGTCATGGGTTGATTTGTAAAAAACATCAAATTTATAGAAGCACAGCAGAAACCCAAAAAAAACCCCCAACAACATCAACACAGCAGCTACAAAAAGCGCAGCAGCAGTAAAATAGCACAGCAACAGCAGAAGCAGCAGTTATAAAAAAAATAACACATTGACAGCAAAAAGCACAGAAGCAATAAAGAGCACGCTAACAATCAACAAAGTACAAAGACATAAAAAAACACAACAGCAGCAAAATGCACAGCAGCAATAAACAACAGCAGCAGCAGCAGCTACAGGAACAACAAAAGCAAAGAAAATAACACCAGGCACCACCAAGATCCACAGCCCCTGTCCTTGACTCGGATGCACTTTTATTTTTTCCCCCTCTCCAAAGGACTTCGCGATGGCATTCAACCGAACCGACGATGAGGGCCGCTGCAGCCAAACAGCCAGCGACCTGGGCGTCTACGTTCGACTTATCTCCCTTTCCATCACTGACCAGGCGTCGCTGCAGAGATCCCTACAAGAAGTGTGCTATTCAAACTTCACCATCGCTACTCGTACCTGGAATATGTCGTTACAGGTGTGGAGTGTGGGGAACAGAATGTTGGCGCCCCCGACTGTCTGTCTGTCTGTCTGTCTGTCTGTCTGTCTGTCTGTCTGTCTGTCTGTTTGTCTGTCTGTTTGTTTGTCTGTTTGTATGTCTCTTTCTATTCATCCTTAGTCTCTTTCTGATTGTTTGGCTGTCTAGCTCTCTCTTTTCTCTTTCTCTCTCTCTCTCTCTCTCTCTCTCTCTCTCTCTCTCTCTCTCTCTCTCTCTCTCTCTCTCTCTCTCTCTCTCTCTCTCCCTCTCTCTCTGCCTTTCTCTCTGTCTCTTTCCCTCTCTTCCTCCATGTTTGTGCGTGTGTGTGTGCTAGACACTCTCTCTCTCTCTCTCTCTCTCTCTCTCTCTCTCTCTCTCTCTCTCACACACACACACACACACACACACACACACACACACACACACACACACACACACACACAAACACGCACACACACACACAAACGCAAATTATATATATATATATATATATATATACATATATATATATATATATATAACATAATATCTGGCTGTCAGCTATTTCTCTATTTACAGCATACCCTCTTACTTTCTACTGATCTGACATTTTACTTGTTCTTTTTTTTGTTTTTCTTTTAGCTATCCCCTTACTGTTCTGCTTATTTCTGTTGTGTTTTTTATTTTTAAAAACCCACTTGTCCCCCCAATCTTATAACCTTTACCTCTCCCACCCAAACCAACGAACCACACCCGAGCGAAGTCATAATAAACTTACTTTTATTGAAATATAACTTATTGTCTATCTATAATGGGCAGTCTTTGCCTTACATCAAAGTCTGCTACATACTGATAATATGACGTCATACTCAAACCATAAAAACACTGTCAATAGAACATAACAAAATTATCCAATTTGTAGATTTTTGTTTAGATGTAGATATTTTACGCTCCAATCACATTTTAGATCGTTTAATTAGGAGAAGGGTTTCGACTTTTTCTGTTAGGGTTAACCCGGGCTGAGAAGGACACACGGTCCAAGCAGAAAGACCGAGATACTCAATTTTAAAAAAATCTCCGCCCACAGGACTCGAGCTTGGGTTCCATGCGTGCCAAATGCACTGCGCCGAACTTCGACACTACAGTCACTTGTTCTTTAAAGACACCCTTACTTGTTAACCTTATCAGTACGTCCTGGAGTCATTTTGTACCTCCAGGGTTGTATTCTTCACATTTTAGAATACTTCTAGTACGAAGATCTCTTTGAAACTTTCAATATTTCTCAAAAAAATCATTTTGACAGACAGCTATGCAAAGCGTACGGATAGGATTAACGAGTAAATTTCCTCTTTGGAAAGTGGTGGCACAGTTTCCCACGTCGTATGGATACGATAGTGAAACATGACGTACGCAGAGGGTTAAAGTGTGGGTAATGGTTGTATAAATGTTTATTTGTACTGGGATATGCCTTTGCAAGATGAACCATGTCCAATGTCTGTCTTTTCCTCAGGCTTTTCCTAATGAAATTCCCTGGCACGTGATGCACCCATCCAGAAGGCGCTCGCCCTACTCGCTGTCTCCGTGTATCACTATTGTCGCGAACAATCACCTGGAGCAGAGGGAAGGTACTGTCCTTTGATTGTTCGTTTAGAAGTGTATCGTGTGTGTGTGTGTGTGTGTGTGTGTGTGTGTGTGTGTGTGTGTGTGTGTGTACATGTGTTTTTCTTCTTGTGCGCGTACACACAAGTAAAGACCTTACTTATTTCGAAAAAAATTCCTAAATTCGAGTTACAATGCTTGTCTTGGTGTGTACAACAGTCTGTAGATAAAATGTTTATTTATGATCATGTATTCCCTCACACAGAATGTCTACCCAATCAAATCCTTCTGAACTTCTTAGACCCGCTTATTAGTCATAAAATACACAGAGTTGCAGCATGTTTGCAATGTGTAGTCCTCTACTAAAAAGTATGCCGTTTCTTCCTTTCAGATGGGATCATGCGGGTTGGAACCACAACTCCAGACCCCAACTCCCAAGACCAAGTATCCGAGACCCCTCCATTTATCCGGCTCTCCAGCCTCATCGCCTGTCCTCACGTGCGCCTCTTCCCGCACGAGTACGCCGTGGCCGGACCAGGATGCGAGCTCACATTGGCGTGGCGGGATCCCGAGGACAAACTCTCCAACGACCGCTTCATCATGGATCTCGAAGGAAACGTCACTATCTGTTTGGAGGACTTCCTTCCCAAAGTAAAAGGGGAGGGACGGCGTCGGACGATGGAAGAGACGATACTTGCTTACGCTCTGCTCCCTATATCTATTTTTTGTTTAATCTTGTGTCTTATTGTTTATTTGGTATTTGCCGTGCTCAGAACGCTTCCCGGAAAGAACAATATGGTTCTTATATCTTCCCTGTTGTGCTGCCATTCTGCTTTACTTGTCGGTTACGTAATTGATGACGTCAGCGATTCTTGCGGAATAGTGGGCGTTGTTAGCCATTATTTCGCCCTCTGTCTTCACTGTGCTCTCCTTGTATGTTCGTATCATGTGTATGCTATTTTCACGACAATGCATTTATCTGCAAACATTCCCCGCGAGAATAGAACCTTCCTGCTGTATGTCTTTTTCGTAATTTTTGCTCCAATTGTAGTGGTAGTAATCGTCATTGTAGTCAATGTAGCTCTTGATGAGAACGGATCCCACATTGGGTACGGTAAACTTGCAATATGCCTCCTGAGTTCAGAAACTGGTGCATGGACTGCCTTATTCATCCCATCGATAATCATAATAATAATAAATCTCACTCTGTTTTGCTTAACTTACGCGTCACTTCGACAAAACAAAGACATTGAGACAAACATCACCGATGAAAGACACGTTCACTTTTACATCAGAGCCACTGTTTTGGCATTCATTGCCTGGACATTCTACTTAATCAGCGTTTCGATGCCGTCTCCGATAATCAGAATCATATTTATCGTATTTCAGTGCCTTCTTGGGGTTTACATATTCATCGCTCTGATTTTGACCCGCAGAATTTCAGGACTTTTGTTCACCTTTTGCTGTGAAGATCGGCCCAATAGCAAGGATGTTACTTCATTCAAAATTGGAGGGGTAGCTCGTAACTCAACAAAGAATCCTACTATTGTAGTAACTGGCTTTAGGAAGACTGGTTCAGAATCTGACAATGAGAAGCTCTCCGGAAACGGAAGTGGGTACAATGCCAATATGGCAGATACGTACACGTGACACACATGTGTGTGAACTCGATTCTAATGTATGAAAAAGAACCCAGTTTTGGCGTAAGGAAATAATATTGAATGTAAAATGCGTTTGATAGACCGGACAACGTCTTTTGCTGTCCAAGTGCTTGTTTCACAAAGGCTCGCGATCAGTCTCAATACTCACATTTGGACAGTTAAATTTTTACCCTAAGTAAACGTGATAAAAACAGAGAATGGACCGTCTCATCTCTGTACGGATCGTTTTGAAACGAAATGATAAAACTACAAATATATATTATTTTTTTTTGGGGGGGGGGGGGTGTGAATGAAGAGTATAAGGAAAAACCCAGGAACTGGTAAATACGAATCACAGTAGCGATACATTATTGACAGTGAAAGTATTGACACAAGCATACTCACAACTGCACCCCCCCCCCACCCCCAATCACACACATAGTATACACCTGCACACGCATGCACATACGATGTAATTACATACGCGCACTCAAGCACACACATGCACGCAAACACACATACATACATACACACACACACACACACACACATACACACACACACACACACACACACACACACACACTATTATGCACTTTCACACACGCACAAAATAAATGAGAGGGGGGGGGGGGGTGCTGCAACAGAGATGTGAGACTAAACAAACTAAGACAGCGCATGTTGAGGATTTGCTAAACAAAATATGTGTGAACTTAGTGCTATCTTGTACTGAATCATATTTTTCACCCTTTTGATATCTCTGAAAGTGCTAAATTGCAGACGCTAAAATGGGGGTTAGTACAACATGAGCCTAAAACCCTACGGAACACTGGCGGTTACTGTAATAAATTTGGGCTCAAATGGACGGTTTTTCAATGGTCTTGTCAGCTGTGACAAATACTCAACAGAGTCGGAAACTGGAGTCGGTATAAGATAGCACTCGATCAGCTTGCGATAGGCGAAAAATTGTTTGTACAAGTACCAAAGTACTTAGTCGCCTTCCCATTAAGAGATGAGCAGTTTTATGACGTGATTTGAGGGCGTTTTGGGGGAAGTGTGTGTCGCACCCCTATCATCAACTGAAGGGCATTATTTATATGTATAATATTTTTGTGTAACATTTTAAGACTCCGTTCCTACTTCATTGGTACAGTGTATCCCATTTAAAAGTGATTTTTTAAGCTTTCTTTTTTGTCTACTTTTTTGCTGGCAGTAAGCTTTATGTGTTGGATGTAGCTATGGATTTGGCTCTACCTTTGCTCAGAGAATTTCTTGCAATACGATTACCTTTTTGTCTCAAGCTTTACATTGAACGTTAGGAACGAAGAGGCCAAAAATGGACATTATAGACATGCACGGATACACAGCAAAACGTCGCGACACAAAATAACGTGTAATGGGAAGGATTTTTGTTGTTGTACTCAGGTGATGTAAGTTCAATCCCCGTTGGGGTAAATGGGAGGGGGGGGTGGCTGAAATGTGTTTGTTTGTTTGTTTGTTTGTGTTTGGGGTATTTTTTTGTTTATTTTGTTTTTTTTTCGTTTTATTAATATGTTTTCAATTAAGCATATTATCCACCTGTCGGCGGGAATGCCGTATCCAAACCCAACCCAGTTGTTGTGGTGGATGGATACATAGACAATCGGATTTCCAATAAAACAAATTAAACGCTGAAAAGATAAAACGATATTAATTGAGCATTTTGAAAAGTATGACTTCATGAATCTTGTTTTTGTACACGTATTAACATGTCGTTGAGAATGTAAATGTATGCCACTTCAAAGTTTCATACTATTTAATGTGAAAATAAGTGCTTTCTGCTGTCTAGTTTTGATGAGTTGACGCTAATATACTGCTTGTAATAAAATAAATATTTGATCTCAAGACTTCTTCACGTCTTTTTCTGTCCACATAAGTACGAACTATTGTGTAAGCATAATGTGTGACCACAAGAGGTCGACAGACACCGCTAAGTCTCCTTGAATTTTTGCTTCCAAAAATATGCTTTGATTCATTCGATCACAGTAGTTTTGAAACAGAAATCCCCATCCTTTTTAGAAATCTTCAACTCGTTTTCTCAAGAGTTTCTTTGTCTGTTCCCATTTACAGGATCAACCATTCCACAAAACTATAATTTCTATGCAGATACTAGTCTAGTTTTGTGGGAGAGAAATAATGTCTCCATCTTTCCTTTTCCTGAGTTCTTTCAGGTAAAAGTTGAGACAATTACGTTTACGAGGGGAAATGTGTGCCAATGCGTGGTTGGAGAGTGTCAATTGTAGGTCCACCATCTTTTCTTTCCCTCTATTATTTCTATCTACCTGTCGTGCTTTGTTTTAGTTTTAATAAAAGTTTGACGGCACTTACAACACAATAAGATCATAGAGGTGCCAAATATCAGAGGAAACAGACACAGAAAAAAGAAAAGGATATAAGGACGATACACATTTTAATAAGAAAGAAGGAGCAAACCACATTAGAGCACTCGCCAACTGTCCACCTGTCCTACTTTTCCCCCCAAATAGATGAGTTTTATACGATTATAATGTTGATGTACTTTTATTTACTCCAACAAATTAATAATAATCTTGCCATCTTGATGCAGAACATTTGGTTTTTAAACAGGAAATTCCCCAAAATTCTGCTTGGCGCTGTTGTGGTGTAACTTATTGATCTATGTATTTTATGGAGTTCCGCTTCCGCACCATTATAGTAACTTTTATTCAGAAATGGAATCTCACACAATTTTCAAAACATCAGGGGCTGGCACAGTATAGGTAAACCTGTGCACTACTTGTACAAAGGGCCCTGTTGTTTCGGGTAATGTTGGTCCGTGTATTAGATTTGTAGTTGGCACTTCCATTATAAAAGACCTAATGATTTTGTAGGTCAATGGCTAATTTAGGTTATAGATCATGCGGTCCTCCTATTAGATTCTATATTTTATTGTTTTTGTTCTGTTTATTTTTAATTTTCAAGTCAGAATGACGTTTTATTTGTATATGTATGTATGTGAGGGTGTGTGCTTGCATACGTGTGTTTGTGTGTGTGTGTGTGTGTGTGTGTGTGTGTGTGTGTGTGTGTGTGTGTGTGTGTGTGTATGTGTGTGTGTGTGTGTGTATGTGTGTTTGCGTGCGCACGCGTGAGTGTACATATGAGTTTGTCGAGGGGGAGAGGCAGTGATGTTATTTACCAACCCCAGAACAAAAGCTGCTACATATATGCGTTTGACTCAGATGTGTTCGAATCTGATATAAAATACGAGTCGGATAAAATAAAATTCATCTGGGTTAATAAGTCTTTACCAAAGATATATAAGCAACATCAAAATATTATGATATCCAAAGCCTATGAATTGGCTATGATGAGAGATGCAACAAACCGGAATTCTTAATTCTCTTCTTCATTTTCTTAAATTTAATCAATAGGACCAGCAGATTATTCTGACAGGTACTTCAAAACAGTAACAATAATATTTTACAGTCGAACCTGTCCGAAATTACCACCAGGTGTCGTCCTCTTAGACAACTTTATTAGGATATATTACAACAACAAAGACAAAAGGAGAAGGGGGAGGCTGGAGTGGAAAGTGATCTTTTGTACATGTGATAATCTTGGACGGGTGGTCGTTACAGCAGATTCGACTGCACTTTCCAAATAAGTGTTTGACCTGCCTTCTCCGTTTCTCACTTCGGTCAACTACTAACTCAACTCTCTCCCCCTCTTCTCCAATAAATCCATCCACCCATATGGAAGCCTAGACATCGGAGCCCTTGTATCCTTTCTCATTATACATAGATTTAAGTCCATAATATGTACTAAGGTACATAATACTTGTAATTCCGGTACAGGTAGTTATGTCCAGCTTCAGGATTTTGTCAAGTCGATTCTTGTGTAAAGGGAGATAAATGCTTGGTTTTTCTTGCTGTTGTGGTTGCTGAATGGTTACCTTCCTTTGAATGATTTGTTATCTTTGATGCCAATGTTTTCAATATTCCCAAGTTGTTGCCTTTGTGAGAAAACCATAAACAATGAGGATCCTTTTCAAAACATTTTTAAATATGTAGAGTAGTTCACTGGGTTCACTAGGATATGTTTGCACTTATTTTTTTCCGTTTATCTTATTCAGTTTGAAGATATGAATGGATTACAATCCTATCATGTCCATTTTTATGGTTCACAACATGAACAAAAGATAATGTGCATATTTATTATTACCACATGTACTATTAACGTAGTTAAGAGCAACGACAGATGAAAAGATATTACACATTATTGTATTCTGACGAAGTTCCTAACTTGCATTATGGCGTGATCATGTTGTAAGAGGTGACTCGACACTGCTAAAACTACCAAAGTCATTATCGCTGCCACGCGGTCACTTCCCAGTTTTATCTTTCGACTCATGGCTAACAGCAGTCAGTCAGTATCTTTTTGTGTGTGTGGGGGGGGGGGTGGAAATGTTGCTAAATCACCCATTATAAACCCAACTCACACAAGGGGAAGTTAACACTCATTGCACTATGTGAGTATGCCAATAAGATATTTTTACCTGTTATTCCCTCACCGCCAAGTAACGTCACTCTTTCTCGCCATGAGGGAGCCTAAGTGATAATTCAGAAGATAAACATTACAGGTGTTTATTGTGTAAGGTTTTAGGTACGAGATTTGTCGAGTCTTGCGTCCCTCTGCTTGTCTGGACCTTACTGTTACTGTGCTTTCAATCTGGATATTTCTTTTTGATTTAAAAAAAAGGGGGGGGTATGACAAAAGTGGACCTTATCGTACTGAGTTTCCATAAACTGGACACAACAGTCGCTGTAGACATGATATACATTTCCTATGTTTTGTCTTATATTACAGCGTCATCGCTCTTTGGTAGGTGACCCATGGCCAGCAATAAGCGACGGCAGAAAAATCGCACCAAGTACAATCACAATCTTCAGAACTCTGCATTTCTTTGGACCTTGGCACCCTTCGAATGAGGTCACTTTTCCGACTTACTCCGCAGAAATCATAAACCATCTTTTACTTTTATACACAAAATTGATATACATCTAGGAACAAATTGAAAACAGTGAAAGCAAATCCTTAAGCTCCTCAGCAACAGCAAGAGTAACAGCAACAGCGTCAGCAACAGCAATAAGTATCTTGAACAACCTGTAGGCTCCTACATAGCTTTTCGATGTTCGACTATGTCGTGACCCAGCCTAAAGATCTGCGATGCCAAAATACTTAACGCTGAGCTTCCTTGACTCTTTCCATTCCTTCTTTTGCGAGTCTGACGACCTGTTCAGCATTCTGCTGCCCCTGTGTTTTATCACGTGGTATATTTTCATCTACAAACACCACCAGCGAATGCGGGCGTACAGACAGGAGATGGCAGAGAGGGCTTTGAGAAAAAGATTAAGGAGCAGAAAAACCTGCACGCAGAAGCAGGGCAGGAGAGGCGGTGGGAATGGTACATGTTCCATGTGTTCCTGTCATCTGAACTAAATAGATTTTTAATTTGGACTAAGGCTCTGGAGAGTGACTTCTTTGGCGAATCGTCAGACTTCAGGATTGGAGGAATATGAACTCCACAGCGTCAAGCCTGAAGGAAGTTTGGTGAACTTCACGAAAAATGAATTAAATGTTTTTTATATAAAAAGTCTGAAATCTTTCGATCATTTCTTTGGTATTCCCACCCTTTACTATGTTCGAAAATAAAGTTAGAGAAAATAGTCAAAACATCTTTGGAGTTGAATTATGTTTGGCTAACACTAAAGTAGGTCGAAGAAGAGAAAGACAGACAGGCAGACACAAACAGAAAGACAGACGTATGGGTGGGGGGATGGATAGATGGATGGATAGATAAACGACAAGGCTTTTTTTTAAAGCAAATAGGCCTACGTATAAAAAGGGGCAGGCAGGCTTAATTAATTATTATGAGCTGAAGCAAACAACAATCAGAACAACATGATAATGTACTCAGTTGGTGCAACCTGTCAACTGGAGAAAGTGGCGAGGTACCAAGTCTCAGTGCTCCTTTTTTGTCATTGCTAAATTACAGAGACATTTTTCCGATTGGTATTAAAATAATTATTAGGCAATTCTGTGGATGTATGCTGAGCGCTAAAGTTGACGCCATAACGCCCATAGGATTTTGTGACGTGCAGATTCGATGGGGAATTAAGTGGTTCTTTACTGAGAGTAATTTTGATTCTTTATCTAGGTTTTGGGGGATTTTCTGGAACAGCACTTGAGATGGAGAAACCTTAGGTTCAATTTCACACTTCCATAAAACAATCAATTAAAGACCTGTGATACTGTGATACGTGCTTTGCTGTCTCACTCAAGAGACTCGAGTTCGTCTCCCGGGTGGGAAGAAATTACTATTACCTCGGTCTTTCTGCTGCGGCGTTGCTTCCTTCTCAGTCAGGGCTGAACCTGACAGGCAGAATCAGAAGCCTGCCATCTAAATAATCTAAAATGTGTAGACTGGGGCGTAAAACACCTACATTGAAGAAAAGAACCATGACACCATTCCAATTCAAAAGATTTAAGACTGTGCATGCGTGCATGCTTTAGATTTAAAATCCCATGGCAACATGATTTATTTAGGCTAAGAAAAGACAAAAAGCACGGTTTCCAGAAACTTAACCGACCTTGAGATACCTACTCTAAAGTTGTTGCAAAAATTCTCATTGAACTTATGATATCTCAACTGTTTTATCTTACTGTATGCTCTCTGGTAGATCTTTTCCAACATGCGTTTGTGGAAAACCGGTTAAGCTCTCTGTCATTTGACTCATATTCGAACTCGCTAGGATGGCCACTTTTTCTAAATTACTTGTACAAACGACCCCCCCCCCCTCCCCTTTTTTCATTTCTGACGGGTATTTTAATGGCACCGTCCAAGATGCCCACCTGCCTATGGCAACCAGTTTTCTCCCTGATAGCTGGTGGCAGTCTTGAACAGTGTCGACAATACTCGTCTCTTTGGCTACAGACTACGATGAGTTAAATAGATCCTAATGTCCGGTGTCTCCAATTAATATTTTCGACGTTTTAGTATGACTGGTGAGACTCAATATTTTAACCAACAATTTCGAAACAGTTCACGAGAAAGTTAAAATGTAATTTGTACGTTCTTGTTTGTAGATGCAGGTGTTTTGAAGTACATGGTTTATTTTTTTAATGCTTTATTCTCTTTACCAGTTTATAGACTTTTTTCTGCGGTGTCATAAAGTTAATATGACTGTATTTACATCGGGTCGAGTTTTAGTAGCCTGTACAACTAGTCCACCTGATGATTGATGCAGCTTATGTTTTAGTAAAGAGAAGCACGTCGACAAAACAAAGACCATTAAAATTAAGTCTGCATAAAAACCTGTAATAACAATACATGTATTTCGTCTAACAATGTCTGGAGAACCCTCGTCTATGGTACAGCGGTAGGTGCTTCGTTGTCTCATGTAGCAAATCCAAGTTCGATTCCTATGTAGGGAGAATTTTTATCGAGTGTTTCAGTCTTTTTTCTGTGAAAGTTGGCACTCATAGCAAGGATTTGAAGCCCTCCTCCAAAATAATAGTTTTGATGAAGGCGTGAAAAAAACCCGGGTTTCATTTTAAAATGACTGATGATGACCAATGCGTCTGCTTATTTTAGTTTTAGTAAGAGTTTTACGGCACTTTCAACACAATAAGGTAATATACGTGTCGAAGCTAAGATGTGTTACAAGAGAGTAACGAACACAAAATTATAGATGTTTGATAGGAAAGAAGGCGCAAACCACACCAGAGTCGAGAGCACTCGCCAATCATCCGCCATGCGCAGACGATAATATTTCGGAAAGTGGAACAGAAGAAACAAAAGGATTAAGATGACTTGTGGCTTCTGTTATGGTCAATGAGACACATTTTGCGCATTTAAAAGCCCCATTTCCACTTTTAGATGTTCACAGCTTGCGAGCAAAGTTATCTCTTGGTTTCAGCATGCTGAATTGCTCAGAAAAAAAGCAAGTCAAACATACAGAGACAGAAAAAACAAAGGGAAAGAAAAAAGTATAGGACCTGCCAGCAGCGGGCTTCCAACCCACAACGCTGGTTAAAAAAAACAAAAGCAGTTGCGACTCAGAAAAGAAGCAGAACAAGTAGATTGCATCAGAGTGAGGACATGCCATTCGTTCAGCTAGTGTCACACGGCTCTGTTGCAAATGGCCCTGGTTCAAATCTCCAAAGGAAAGGTATTGACCTTGAGTTGTTTCGGGAATTTTCAAATCTCTTCTCTCAACCACCCCCCCCCCCCCCTGTTGTTTCTGTCTTGTCTGAAACTGACGCTTAATTAAGAGGTTGCAACTCAGAGATAATTTTACAGTTGACAGGATGTTGAACCTGTAACCTTCGTCTATGGTGTAGCGATTAGGCACCTCTCTGTCGTATGCAAGAGACCTGAGTTCGATTCCCGCCCGAGTAGGGAGAATTTTTATCAAGTGACTTTGTAAGTCTTTCTGCTGGGGTGTTGTATCCCTTATTGCCCAGGTTGGCCCAAACAAGTAGGGTCATAATCCTGTCTCCTAAATTATCTAAAATGTGTCGATGGGGCATAAAAGCACCTACATAAAAAAATATATTGTAGGCCTAACCCATACAATTACTAGTTTATTGTCTGTTTTGTTTGGGACTGATTCTCCTTATGAACCCCCCCCCTCCCCACCCCCAGCTAATTATTTATGAGTAGGCCTATCCAAAATTCTGAGTCCGTCTATCTGAATATAGCAACATTTTGAAACCAAACAAAGTATTGAAGCTTTGCAACACCCTTTGAGGAGATTATAAATTGCACAGTTTTTATTCAAAATGTCAGTAATAGTTTTTACAGTTTTGCTTTTGTCGAACGACAATGTAAATGAAAGTTTCCAAACTTTGCAATTGAATTTACCCCATATCACAAGTACAATAAACTGTACAACAGGATAATGGGGGAAACACAAACAAATAGCTACAGAAAAAGATACCATCCCAGGATTAGTAATAATCCAATATAAAAATAAACTTTCACTTTGCTGTATGTAACCAGTTCAAGGAAGGTATAATAAATACAGAAGTGAAAGTGTTGCTTTATGATCATACACAATTTCACAATTAAAGATGAACGCTAAATGATACAAAACGAAAAAGCAATGAAATTGCTCCTTACATATCTACAAGGTCCATGGAGTAATGTTTACATAAACAAATTCATATCATACAAGTACAATGTCACAAAAATGCATAGCACTACGTACCAACAAAAAATACTGAAGGAAGACTATTTCTAAAAGGGAGTATGCATGAAGCAGTTCAAAGACTTTACGGGGTTGAAAGTAATAAATATAGATAAACAGTAAAGGAAATAAACATGTGCAATAGGGTAGGACAAAACAACTGCTTACATCTGTCTGATAGAGAACGCCTTAAAGTGTAGTATTGTAATTTCGAAAGTCCATCAGCAAAATGATTCTATCTGCACAAGTACAGGTGCGTTCTTTAAAAAAATAAAAAGAGCAAAATTAACATTACAGCCTTATGACTTACATTTACATGTATCATACACCACATGCTGGAGATGTCTACGTGGCTATGGTTTCACTGAGGAAACGTTCGATTATACATAATATACACACCACGCGCAATGACACCACATACATGTGTTGCTAAAGAGGATAGGGCATTGAAAAAACTGTACTATTGTTCCTCAAGGTACTCTGAGCATCAAGAGTGATGCACACTAACAGCGATTTCACACTTCTTGTCTATAAATAGAACTAGCAATCTAAATGCTAACACGAATATTATGTACAGCGCAGCTAGGTAGAGCTATTCAACGTTGAAAAACGATACACAAAATAAAATTCGTGTTCTACTGTTCATAATATTATGTGGACACACATTTTTGTAGTTATTGATGAAATTTAGCCACTTAGGCAGGTAAATATCAATTTCAATGCACAGTTTATAAAGCTGCAGTTTCTGAGGGATGATAATTGTTGGACAATGCAATGAAGCCAGTTGCTTAATGATAAGGCATGGTGATCATATTCCTCAAAAATACATTTTTCCACCCATCTCCTTGTTTATATGTGCTGTGCTTGACTTGTAATATCGTACTTTATTTTGTATTTAACGCCTATTTCTATGGATAGATGTCTTCAAATCACAGTTCTTAGGACTCTGCATTCGCATTTTAAAAGTGTCAATTCATTGTGCTTGTCTTGAAGATACCTCTGCCTCAACCCTCTTTTCTTTTTCCAAATATATACAAACGTATGTATACCAGTATGTTCTCTTTCTCTCTCTCTCTCTCTCTCTCTCTCTCTCTCTCTCTCTCTCTCTCTCTCTCCCTCTCTCTCTCTCTCTTCCTCTCTCTCTCTCTCTCTTCCTCTCTCTCTCTCGATCTCTCTCTTTCTCTCTCTTTATAACCTCTGTCTGTTTTTCCCAAACAAACACCCCCCAACAAGCCTACACATATGCACAAACATGCCAAAAACATAAACATATGTGTAAATGCATTGGCACCCACAAAAATCACACAGGCATACGCACACACACCCTCAGAACCATCCCACAAAGCCTAAGACCCATATTTTGTTACCCTGCTATGAACAGATCAAATGTTATTATTATATATGAAAGAATAATAACATTATAAAGATAACAAACTTAAGAGGATATAAATGCACCAGCAGCTTTTTTGTCAAATTTTGATATTGCATAATTTGTACTTCCACATTGCAGGTCTTTGTAGTGGAAATGCATACACAAGACTAACAAGAAACACACATTAACATGACAACAGATATCCAAATAAAAAAATTCTTTTGAAAAAAATCAAAAGAATAAAATAACGTTATGACACTCTCTCAGTCTCTGTCTGTCTTTTATCTGTCTGTCAACTTCTTTCTCTCCATTTCTCTCTCTCTTTACCTCTCTATTCTTCTCTTCTCTATCTCTCTATCTCTCTCTCTTTCTTTCTCTTTCTCTCTCTCTCTTTCTCTCTCTCTCTTTCTCTCTCTCCCTCTATTTCTCTTTCTTTCAGTCTTTCTTTCCCTCCCTCTCTATTTCTCTCTCTCTCTCTCTCTCTCTCTCTCTCTCTCTCTCTCTCTCTCTCTCTCTCTCTCTCTCTCTCTCTCTCTCTCTCTCAATCTTTCTCCTCTATGTATAGTATCTTTCTTTTGACATCTATCCAAAACTTGCACGCCAAAACCATAACTCTGTTATACATACAGAAAATAAAACGTACACAGCCTTCAAATTAATGACACAAAGTACTGTGGTAATATCTCCTCATCCTTAAAGACTAATATGTTACACATCCCTCAACTTTCAAAGTCCAGATCTCAGAAAACAATTTACGTCCAAAACAAAGCAACTCTCTGTATAACTACAAACTTTATTTTGATATTTTGTTTCCACATTGTTTTATTGATAGCCCCCTAGTATCAACTTTTAAGTTACAAAATATATTTTGGAAGAGTACCACAGAAAACAGTTCTTTCTTATAAATAATGTTGACAACTTGAGGAAAAGTTAAGTGGATGGATGGTAAGACACTAAAAACCCATCAGATTCTGTTATTTGAGGATAAAATCCCTTCCACCACCTAACAAGAGAGACAGATATATAATCATTAATGTATACATCTTGGTATTCCCTGCTAGACATCTGCTGCCCTTTGCCGGGACTTGCATGAGAAGCACATAAGAAACTTGCAGTCAAAGGACCAGCCACTCTGCTCCATCTCTATTCTATCCTTGGGATCAACATCTCCTCTACCTTCATCATCTTTTCCATTACTCTCTGGAGACAACCGAGCCTGTGAAGAGGTAAAACATAAGCACATTAGTTTAACTGAATGTTATGTAAGGTATATATTCAAGTACAATAATAGCAGTCATAATAATAATAAAAATAATAATAACATAATAAGTTTTAAAGGGTTTGTTTTTTTTAATCGATGGATATGCTTATAACAGAATGATTTCTGGGAGGCAAAAGTTAGGTGTACATAGAGGTCCAACATGTTAATGTCAAATTCAGATGTCAGATTTCTAAAGAATTTCCTATATACAATAGCTCCACTTTCACACCATGAACTAACACATACAGATCGTTATTCATCATTGTTTCTTCGTTACCTCAGTTTCATCCTGCCTTCTCCTTCCCATTCTTTCTACATCCTCGGGGTCATATCTCTTCAGCTCTAACGGCTCATCCTTGACCTTGTGAATATGCCTGGTGTCCACCCAGGCCCTGTGGGCTGGGCCTGCTGACCGACTCCCGGCCTGGCTGGGCTGACTGGAGGATGGTGGAGAGCTGTCATTGGACCGTGCCGGAGCAGACCGACTCCTTTTTGTTCCTGCAGAGCAAAAATAACCGAGTGTGACGTGTCGCGTTTGCAAGGATTGCGTTTTACTCAAAATGACAAACTGTATTTTATTTTCAGTCCTCAAGACAAACAAATCGACAACACAGTGTAAGACTTTTTTGGTCATACACTATTTTGAAAATTGACGTATGACGGAGTCTAACACTGAGAATTCAAAATGAACAAGTAGGTACCTAGAAGTAGCTAACAAATTCAAATAGGCGCCTGGAAAAACATGTAAAGTGAGAAATCAATGAAAGATTACCTATCAAACTGAACATTATATAATATGTTGAAATTAAGAAGAACTTTATGGAAAAAAAGCGATATCAAAACAATGTGACCTACTGTAAAAATAGATGTAATATTGTATGCAAACGTTGTGACAAATACAAAGCTGGTGTTTGACCCAGCACCATAGTCAGATAGCAGTGTGTGTGTGTGTGTGTGTATGTGTGTGTGTGTGTGTGTGTGTGTGCGTGTGTGTACCACGCACATAAGTGTACATGCATGAGTGTGTGTGTATGTGTTTGTGTGCGTATCTTGACCTCCTTCTAACCCCTGAGAATGACTCATCAACCTCTCTGTGGTTACGAAGCACAGCTCCAACAAATACACACTTATACTGAATTTCAACTCGTTACTCACCCTTCCGTTTTGATCCCTTCTTATTTTCGGTGGAAGACTCGCTGCCACTGTCTTCATGTCCAGATGAAGACCCCGTAGCCTCGCTGTCTCGTAACATACTCTCGTAGCCACTGCTGGTCCCTCCATGGATGTTCTCTACCTTGGCAACAGGTCTCTTGTTCCCGGGGTGAACCTCTGTGCTGATGGTGCTTAAGGAGTGGGTAGAAGATATAATCCATGAAACATTTTCATAATAAAATACAAAGGAAGAAACTAATTTTTTTTCCAGAGCAGAAGAGATAGAAAAACAAAATGATTACAACTACCAACAGCAAAAACAATATTTTGATAATGATGATAAGGATAGTAAGCATACAAAATAGTAACAATAAAGTAATAATAACAGCAAATTATTTCACGTGAGAGAGAGAGAGAGAGAGAGAGAGAGAGAGAGAGAGAGAGAGAGAGAGAGAGAGAGATGGACCGATGGACAGAGATGAAGAGAGATGGACAGAGAGAGAAAGGCAAAGGAAGAGAGAGAGAGGAGGGAGAGAAAAACAGAGAAAGAGACAGGGAGAGAGAGCGAGAGAGAGTGAGAGAGAGAGAGAGTGAGAGACAGAGACAGACCGAGACAGACAGAGACACAGAGAGAGAGAGAGAGAGAGAGAGAGAGACACACCATCGCACGCACACACACACACACACACACACACACACACACACACCCTTGTGCTTAAACGCGACTATTTTTCCCTACAAAAAACATTTTTATTTTGTAGAAAGAACAATCTCGTTTTGTACAAGCGATATATGTAAGGAGAAAGGAAGAGATTGAGAGAGAGAGAGA